GAGGAGGGCAAGAGATGGCTCTGGAATTTCAACCTCAAAGACTAACTGAAGAGTAGATACTAAGACTCCAGAAAAGTTGGAAGACTACACTCCAGTACCTAATTATGCTCCCCTCAGAAACCTATTGAGCCACTGTTGAGAGATATTTTTCAGTTTTACAGACAAAACCTGTTCAATTTAAGTGTACAATGTGGTGTTTTGATCTACATAAGACACAGGACTGTAAGAATAGAAGGGACAAAAACAATAAAAAGCTGGAAGAAACAAAGTAGGTAGGAAAAAACAATGGGGGAGAAGTTCACAATTAAACATAAATATGCATTAAGAATCCCATAAATATCTGAGTAATGATTCTGGGAACCTCTCAAAGTGGGAATTAAGTGTGACACTAATAAAATACAGAGCTGATGGAAAGTTCAATAACAATTATAGAACCCAACCTCTACCTATAGGCACTACACTGTACATGTGTTTAATAAATCGTGTTAAAATTTTCCACAATAAAAATAAAAATCCAAAATAAAAATCTGATCCTTAGAAGTATATCTGGACATTTATTTTGTAAAGTGGGTACTATAGGAGGAAGGTCTCTGGAGACTACAGGCAAAGCACTAAGAGGGGATTTCACACTAAAAAGAGATTAAGAAAAAAAAAAGGTATAGTGAATGCTGAGACCTCTAAGCTCTTTCCTCATGTGGTTCTCCAAATGTCATTATGAGACTTTTTACATTTCTATAAAAGCCTGGGATCCAGCAGACCCACACCTTACTTTTCTATTACAAACATTAACTTTAGCATTATAGTAACCAACTGTGCATCTTCATACCATTCCTTGAGGGAAAGAGAAAAGCAATCTGTGACTTAGTTACTTGGTATAATAATGAATGGCAAGGAATGTGCATGTGTGTAAGAGTCAAAGCAGAATCTGGAGTCACCTTCACGTTCCATCAAACTGGTTTTACGTATGTTTACTCAAGCATCAAAAAGGGTCCAATAGACCCACTCTAGGCTTTGTCAAAAAATTTTTTAAATTTTACTTTTAAAAGTAGCCCAATTCAGTACAACAGCACTTGAAAAATTAGATTTGCAAGTTTTGGAGGTCAAAGTGAATTATCAGACTATATTCATGCATGGATGAGGTAGATGACCCATTTTGATAAAATACATGTGTAACAAAATAGTGATGTGAGTTTATGATGATGATGAAGAAGACTTTGACATTGGCCATGTGAGTAAAGGTTCCTGTGACAGTGAAATGGAACAAGAATCAACTGATATAGACAAGGTGAATTCAGACCTCCTTGATTCAGATGATGAATAAAACAGCAATATGTATACATATTTGACTAATCAAAATGACCACACAACCAAATGGAATGACTCAATACTACAACTCAGTCTGAAAATACTGCAAAGGGGTGAAACTATTGGACAGAATGCCAGCAGTGCCATTCAATGTTGGAAATTTTAACAGATCAAATGCCACAAGATACTGTGAAACAGTGCTCTTCTATGTCCCCCAACTTATTTGACACCTCACTAGCTGAAATGAAAGCATGCGTAGGTCTGCTGTACTTCTCACAGATTTCTCATAGTGATCACAGAAATGTAAAAGACTTATGGAAAAGTGATGGGTCAAAATATGACATAAAAATTTATGTCCCTATAGATGCAAAGACTTACTATTCTTTCAATTTATACATTAACCCTGGAACTCAGCCATCAGGTCCTTACTTAAACAGTAATAAACTCGATGTTGTGAATAGACTTGGTGCCCCCATCTCCCAAACTAATCAGAATGTGACACAGGTAAACTGTTTCCATTTACAATTGTACAGAGCACGAGTTGACCAGCACAGAACCTGTACACAGGAACAAAGCAGAAATTCCAAATGATGGGCCAGGGATTTAGCTGAGTGGCCTAAGTGCCTGCCTGGCAAACACAAAGCCATGAGTTCAATTATCATACCAAAAAAAAAAAAAAAAAAAAAAAATAGAATAAAATAAAATTTCCAAATGAAATGCTGCAATTTCAAAAAAAAAAGAACTGTATACTACAATCTTTGGACTTCAGGAAGATAGAACATAGGCCTCATGTATGGCAAAGAAAGCCAAACTTACACTGCTGATGCCAACATTCACTTTGATGGAAGTACTGATAGAGAAATCTTGACAAACAGAAGCCTCAGATGGAACTTCCAACAAATGAGAGTTTGTTGATGACTTATGCAGCAACTATGATGTCACTTGAAATACAAAGCACTGGCCAATGATTGTTTCACTCAATCCTGAATGTGGCATAGTTTGATAGTTTACAATGAAAACAACAAATGCAAAATATCATGGAAAAATTTTCTTGGAGGATTGGAACTGGAGCTCATGAGAGAGCATTTACAGCAAAGGAAAAACGAAATGCTCCTACCCAGGCAACTATGCAAAAAAAAAGTTGTCTCATACACTGGTGAGCTGACAGGTGAACAGCCAGGAAGATCTACTACTGTAACAGGAAAACAAAAAAGATGCCAACAAGAAAGTACGGAACACAAAAACACGTATTGTAAGTGTAAGTGAGATATGTGCATGGGAACATGCAGTTGTCATATGTGAAGACTGCCTTGGGTGTGACAGTTGAAGCAAGCTTATTTCTGTGGTAGATTTGTTTTTGCATTTACACTATAGTTCACACAGAAATTTATTTCTGATATTATCTTTTAGATTTCATGTAAGTCTGGGGATTTAGCTCAGACCTAGCAAGCATGAGGTAGTGAGTTCAATCACCGCTATAAGAAAAAAGAAAAGTTGTTCTAGATTTCATGTAAGTATACAGTTGATGTGAAAATGCTGATGTCTAGACACATAACACATAATTTAATGGTTTTTTGAATTTTATGTTCCTGCTAACTACACACTGTAAGAATCTCCTGACAAAACGAGAACACCAGGGCTGGGGATTTAGCTCAGTGTCATAAGCGCCTGCCTTGCAAGCAGGCAGTCATGAGTTCGATCCCTGGTACCGATAAAAAGGAAAAAGACAAAAAAAAAAAAAACCGAGAACACCGAGTCAAGTATGTCCCCTAAAAGCAAGACACGAGTTGTCAGTATGAGATGTGTGTGTATGGAATGTGCTTGCTATCCTGTGTGCGCACTGCTTTAGATATAACTGAAGCAAAGCTTTTTTACAATCTGTAGAGTGCTACTGGCATTTTCACTGTAGTTCATATGGTAATTTATTTCTGACGTTCTAGACTTTGTACAGCAAAAACCAGTGTATGGTGAAAAGTTTTGATACTTACAAACACCCCCAAGATACTAAAAGTTAATACTTCATTTCTGAGACCTTTCCTTGTTAAGTACTATTTAATAAGACTCATAAAATCAAAATAATTCATCAGCAGAAGATTCACCTTGATGACAAAATTGGTCCCAAGCTTTCCTTGCAGAATCCGTACTATTCTAAAGATACGGCAGGATCTAACAAGCTTTACACACACACACATTCAGAGCATTTTTAGGTCACCTTATTAAGTATAAGCAGAAAATCAGGATCGACATACATCTGAAAAAAGCTGTTAACATGAAAGGCCAAAATAGGAAGAAAAAAAAGGCTGTCATGGGATAATCAATCTAAAGTAAAAAACTCTTGTCTCTTCAGAAATAAGATACAGCACCTGAGAAGATAAAAGGCTTCAAGAATTGATTTGTTGAACAAACGAACTCTTAAAATTAAAAACAGTAGAATTTGCTTTAAAATTACTTTTTAAAAGAAAGGTGGGAAGCTAAGCTTAGAAAAACATCCAGAAAGGGACAAAAATTAAAGACAAAAATTAAAAAGACCAATAAAACAAAGTGTAGTAATTCAGGTGGTCTAAAAACTAAGCAAACGTGGTTTCAAACAAAGGCAAAAAAAGGAACCATTATCCCACAAAAGAGGTGACACATTCAGAGAGTTCATTAAGGGCCAGTACAAAAGAAAAATCTGCAAGGTATATAATTTTCAAAACACAAGGACTATGAAACTAAAAAAAAAATATGATTTTATGTTTTGCTTTCAATTTCCATTATTTTTCTAGATTCCAACCCTTGTATTCTCAAAGTGTTTTCCCACCCAGATTTCTATATCCAGCCAAAGACTTTTAGACACACCAAAAGAATTATTTTCTTAATGTTAAGAGTTACAGAATTGGGAAGAAAACCTGTTATTGTCCTCACAGCTGGAGAAGAGAAATATAAAAAGAATGAGAGAAACCTAAATAAAACCTCTGGTACTGGGTTAGAATTAGAATCATCAGTAGATGGGTATCTGTATATCAAAAGCCAAAAAGTTATGACATTCCAGTAGCAGTGAGTATGTATATGCCCATTCCCTGTTAAATGCCTGACCTGACATGGGTTGAGACAAGACAACTGCTGGGACAGAAAATAAGAAATATTCAAAACACTGATGGAAATAGAGAACACAGAAACTGTGCAGAAAGCGATCCCCATCATTAGCAAAATTTGGAAACATTAAAAAAAAAGTAATGGATTACCCACTCAATAAAATAAATTCATTCTGAAAAGGCAAAAAAAAAAAAAAAATTCAATATGGCCAAAAGTCAATAGCCATTTTGTACTATCACAGTAATAATTAATTAGGTAGGAATTACCAGTGAACACTAACTCTAGGAAGCTCAAGTATAATCCAGAATAAGTGGTTTACAAGCCTCTAATCTTATCTCCTCACAAACTGCTTCTTAGAAGGGATAAACGACAGTCAAGAAACTGGACAGACACAATTCTACCAAGTATCAAAGTAAATGCTAATGGTAACAGGGTAACACATCACTATCTCTAATGTGATGTTTTTAAGGATGTACCAACACATGTTGTATTATTGTCAAAACTGCAGTTGAATGTAATGAGTAAGCAGTGGGAAACTGAGGTACAATGCTTGAATACTGAGCACTGTACATTTTAGGGGACAGACGTGTTCACGCTGAAAATATTCAGTCACAAAAATGTCAGTTTTTCATTTTATTCAAAGTTGGTACAGAAGTGCTAACATTTCCATAAAATAATTACCATACTTGAGTTACAAGACAAAATACCACAGAAAGGAATGTACTTTGCAAGAAATGTAGTTCATCTTAAATTTCCAAATACTTCTGAAGGCTAATGCAGCAGCTGGCAAAGTAACACACAGTACATAAAGAACAGTGTATTTTACAAGGTCAGTAACAAAAACTGACAGCTCGTTAGCAGATTTACCTCTTTCTTTTTTTTTAAACAACAGTAACACTTTTAAAATACATTAAATCAAGGATTATACATGTCTACAATTTTAAAAATCAGATTGTATACAGAAGTTAGAATTATTGTAAATGGTTAATAATTTTAAATCTACAATTTTATTGTTTTCCTTTCAAAGTGGAAATTACCTGGTTTATACCAAATTCTACTTTCTGCTGGCAACTAAAACACTGCACAATGAAATGGACCCAATTAGTCAAACTTTAAAACAAAAAGCTGTGAACAATGAAGGGTAAATTAGAAATCAGTTTACAATAAAAAATTCATTAACAAAATTAATATTCATCAACTTCATTATAATCACATTTGGTCTACAATTACAGAGTGGCTAAAATGATACATGAACACAATACGACTCCCAGTGTACTGACTGGACTTTTACAAAATATCTGAAAGCATAATAGACAGGACACTGGGAAAAATATTCTACAATGTAGACATTTTTAAAAATGCATGAATACTTACATATCAAAATTACTAGATAAAAGCAGCAGTACTCTGCTGACATTTGGCTTAAAAACAAAGGAATGAATGAAGCAATTTCACAGGGTATTATTAGAAAAGGAATTGTTTTTCTTCTTGAAGAAGACTACTAACTTTTGCACAGCAACTATTTTTGATATCCATCTTATCAAAAAAGAAAAAAAAGCACTGAGAAGCCCAACACAGTTCATACTGTGATTGCCAATACAGGTGTGGACATAGAACATGGGACATCCAAGCAAAGAATGAATGGTAAATCCCTGATCTATTGCTGAGCTCTACTGGCAATCTATAAACTGAAGCAGTAATGGCTGGGGAAAGCAGGGTTACAGATTCTATACCATTATCTGACACTAATGTAGTATGTCATTATTAAAAAAAATAAAGCTTTTGCATTTTAACAACCCCACAGAAAAGTCCATGAGCAAAAGACTTGCTGATCTGTTTGCCACTCAAAGTCTGAGATCTCACAGTGAAATTAGAAAATTCTAACTATACATATTTACACTGCTAGGACTACTTTTCACCTAGGTTAATTAAAGCAGTTTTCCATGGAATTATAAATCCAAGAATCTTCTGCCAAAGGAATTTTCAAAAGCATTCTTTCATAGTTTTTATAAACTAATTCAAACTTAAAGGTACAGAATACATATATAGGACTAACAGATTATAACTGCTTTGCGTTTTCACATACTGCTAAGCCAAGGATGCTCTTCAAACTTCTCTAGTTTCCTACATGTCTGGTATTCCTCTCCCCTAACCCCTAAGCCTAAGATTTTACATTCTAAAATAATGTTACAGATAAAAACACTTGGCTAGCTTTGTGCTGGAAAAAGGAATTTCCCTCAAAATGTTCAAACTAACCTATCTAAAACATGTCACATTAGTCTACACCAGCTATAATCTTCATTCTAGACATACGAGATTTGACCAAGCCCACCCCTAAGAACATAAATATACAAAATACAGAAGAATAGGAACAAGGTAGTCACTTTTCTCCTAAGAGCTGTATTTGACATTTGGACAAAGTTCAAAATAGAGTTGTTTATTCACTCTTGGTAAGCATGGATCATTTGGAGGTAAATGAAGTGAGAGGCACAATAAGGGAGCTGCTGGGTAGAAGAAATGCATTTTCATCTTTTGCAAGCACATTCACAGCTTTCCTCTAATCTGGTCTTGAGAATGACGGAACAGGTAAACAATCTTTCATTTAGTGCCATTGTGAAAAGCAAAGTAATTCTTTTTGCATGTGTCTCAAGATTAGTTTGACATTCAGAACACTTGGATCAAATTCTCTACTAAAATGGAACAAAAAACCACATTAAAAAGTGAAAACTCAAAGCATATAATGAAAATAAAGATCACTTTTCCCTCTCACATACAAGCCCTATAAAAACGTGAACGTCTTCACATGTTTTAGAGTACTGTTGATGAGAGGTATTATTTTCACAAGGCAAGATTTTAAAAAAATTCGAAACTCCAATGGCTCTATATAGCTTAGAGCAAAAAGTTATTATGAGTTCTCACCAAAACCTTAAGTCTGTCCTTATTTACTTTCAGTTTGTGGAAATTGGCCCAAAGACTCCATCTTTGCTAGTAATGCCCAAGTACAAAGAAAGTATTCTTGACATTTGTATTCTACCTCCAACAAAGCAGAACAAACTTAGATTATTACCTTGAATTCTTTTTCACTTAGGGCCCATCTATAACTGAGATAATTCATTTTCTAGTTTTTAATACTGTGGTCCTCATAACAACGAAACAAATACGAGGGAGGGGGATATGACTGGCACTTGTCAACTACTAAGAATACTATCAGTTTTGTGCTTTCTATGTGTTGAGACACACACTTCAAAATGATTTTGTGCTTTCTATGGACCATTAAGCTTTTTCTCTGTCACAGAATATGAACTGTTATAGTATCAAACCTACAAGGGAAAATGATAAAATAGAAATATATGACTTGAACATTTTAATTATGAATATAAAAACAAAGATAAAAGATATTTATCAAGTGACTGTTTCCTGAATCTAAAGGCTGCATGTAAAGTATGTAAATACATAGGGTTCCTCTTAAATGTTCATTAGTTGTAACAAAATTTAAGAACTTCAATAAAAAATTTTGTACTTAAAAAAAAGAAAAAAAAAAAAAGGAAAGGTACAAGCTGTTGGTCAATACTGACACCCAGAAGGCACTAATCCAAACACCTAAATTTCAAAAGCTAGTTATACAATGAAATACTGTATCTATTGACCTTTGTTGATTTAAGATTTCAAAAACAGTAAGCCTAATTTCATTTTCTGTTACCAGAAGAAAAAAAGTAAGTTCTTTATGAACATTGATTCTAAAAGTGCAGGGCCATGATGGCAAACCTTTCAATGATAATAAACAGCCATAGGGTTACCCAATGCTGGTCCAGGCTACAATGATAAACTGAAAACCTACCTACTTTTTCTAAAAACAGTCAATAAACACTCCTTTATCTAGCAGCACTAGGGAACAGAGTGATTTCACCGAAGTATCATTAAGTTATGAATATCTACTCAATTTGAGCTGTTGTGAAAATCACCGTAATACGTGCACTGTAATATGCATTCCCCTTACTGGTAACATGCACTGACTGTAACTATCCTGATTGGGGGGTGGGGGTGTTATCTGTCACAGGCAACAGCAAAGTGCTTTTCTCCCTTTCTGAGGACTACAAAACCACTGCCCTTTCAGAAGAATCCCAAACCTTGTTTGCTCTTCAGCTCCTTCTCTTCAATGCTGTAAGTAACCAAATTCAAGTGTTGTTACACACGGTAAGGTTACTAGATTAAGTCGACAGCCACAAATGATTTATGATAATCCCCTGAAAAGTAAAGTGCATGACACAAATATACCAAATCCTTTCTGTTCAATTCTAAGTAAAAAGACTAATGGTTACATTGTTGGTTATCAACAAATAGGGTACACACCCCAACCTTCTTAAAGAGTTGAAACAAAAATACAAATTACATCAATTTCACAACATTTCTTTAAAGGTGCTCAATAGTTTAGTCCCAACACTGGTAGGGGAGAAGTTTAAATAAAAATATTCTTATGACCAAGTGACTAAATAATGGTGTGGGACTTAGACCTGGCTCATTCTCTACTAGGAATCCAAGTAGCTGAGCAGCTACACTATTCCAAACACAGACACAACCCTAATGAGAAGGGTCTGTAACCCAAGTTAAACCAACAAACCCAGTAATCTAAATAAAGATTTATCCAGTCTTACTTACTACCAGTACCTACCAACTGACAAGTTTCAATTTTTGACCTTTATTTGCTAAAAGAACAAGACAGTTTGGGCAATCAAATAAACTACTGCCTCTCTGCAGTCTGATCCCACCTTCATTTCAAAGGGACTCAAATTTTCACTATCACTTTCTAATTTTTGAAAATGATGTTTTGAGAATAAAAAGCTGATTAACTATTTGTTTCTATTATTAACCAACACAAATCTGAGGAAATTACCCTCAAAAATTAACATTTTTAGTCAACAGAAATTTAGTATATTTAAACATAACTATTATTCAATGACTTGCTATTCTGATCTAAGTCCTTAATTTGGGAGCAAAGCAGCAGTTTAAAATATTAAGACAATATGCCTGAAAATGAAATAAGCCAACCAAAAAAAAAAAAAGGAAAACTAAGAATTTGATAGTAATGCTGATATTTGTTGTTGTTGTTTTCATCGTTTTCTTTTATTGTTTTTGATTGCTTCTTGATTTTTCAATGTTTTCCCCTTTAAAAGAAAAGGAGAAAAATCATAATAATAATAAAAAAAGAATTTGGTAGTACTGAAAGAGTAAGAATAAAACAACGTGAGAGGAGACACAAAGACCAGCATTTGAATGTTAGGACACACACATATACAGCAATATGTCCCATTTATAAAGTCTGCTGGGGCTAATATCAACAATAGTTTTAAGCACCTTAGTACCTAGCTTATAAGAAATTTTAAGGATACTAAAACCCAAGTGTTTTTCCTACTAAATTTTAAGTATCACACATAAGTCATTTTAACCTTTAAAGTTAATAAATTTGTACCTTATAATACATAAAATTAAGTTATCGAGCTAGATCTTACTCCCTGATACCCTTATTTACATGGGGAGTGGTTCGACACATTCCCAATGGGCTGGACAGGGCCATATGGAGCTGTAAAACTCCCTGTTGGGCAGCACTGAGCCATGACAGTGGTACAAGTCAACGAAAACATGTTAAAACTAGCTGATAGCCAAGATGCTTTGGGTTCCAGAATCAAATGAATATGCTTTTACATCTCTAGAACTAAGCTAACGTTTGTCCTCTACCAACTTGTTCTCATCGGCATCACCTAAGTTCTAATCAGCATCTAAACATTTTACTTATTTCTTAGGAAAGTTTTATCCTGGCAAGGCTCTGCAATTACATAATTTAACAAGAATGCTCTCATAATACCTTCTTAACTCAAACCCAGGGAATGGTGAGGTGTCACTGCTAGTTACCCATGTGGGTCCTTTCCTGTCATGCCTCAGATAGAGGGAATAAAGCATGAAGGAATCAAGTAAACCTAATACTGCCAGATAAGAACATTGAAGGACCTAACCTTTTAATGACCAATAACATAGAGCAGTGATGGTGGCTTTTAGAGCTTCCAATGATACAGAGAAGCCTGCTATAACTCACATGCCATAGGTTCGCCACCCTGAAACAGGTCACTTTCTTGGTGAAAAAGAATGAGAACCCACAGGCTCCTCAAGATGGTTTTCAAAGAAGGGGAAAGCTGTACACTTGAATACAGGAATAAAAAGTCATGGATTGCTAACGTAGAAACAAAGACAAGACTTTAGGTAAGAGAACTGGGCAATAACCCCCCCCCCCACTAATTCTTACAATGGCAAGCTTCATAGAATGATAAATCTCTGGTTATTTTTTGAGATGGAGTCCCTAAGAGCTAAGGCTACAGGACCCTCCACTGCATGCAAAAAGACAACTCATCATTTGAGTCAAGAGAAAAGGAAGCCCTAGAGATTTGAATCTATTGCCTTGGGCCAAAAAACAAACTACTTCCATTGTGTGATGCTCTCTAAAGACAAAAATGATAACCTCCCCAGGCAAGAACAGCTAAAGAAGGAAGTTTGGCTCAGCTGGGTACTCTTTTGCAATGAACAGGAGCTAGGAGGTCCCACAAAAGAGTCAAGAACCATGCTGCAAACCAGTGTACTTAGCCTTTCTCATCAGATCCAAAGGCAAGAAAGACTGCCTTTGAGAAACAAAAATCTAGGAGTTGGGAAACATTCACAGGTGAAGATTTTTCTCCACCTTTAAAGATTAGTACCCTCACCTCATCTCATTATGACTGCTAGCCACTAGGTTAGTTAATTATCACTCTTGGTCAATTCTAAAACTTAGCTTGAACAAATATAAAAATATACGTTAGTGTCTATAGAGATCAATGTCACCTATAAAGTATGAACATTTTTCTAGCTTAAAGACAGTCCATATACCATTCCAGGCACAATCATTCTAATGAAATATACACTGAAATGAGTCTCCTGAAATGAAGCTGCCATCAGCAATTCACATACCTATTGAAGCACATTATCTATTAATGGGAAGTCATAAGTACGGCAAGCTTCAGGGAATTCAGTCTAAATAAAGTAATGTTTATACTGGCAAGAATAAACAATTATATTGGAAATACTAACAGTCATTCCTTATTTACAGACATCAGTACTCTAAACTTGACCTACTTTTTATATATACACCGAGACACAAGATGGATACATTTTATATATCTTACTAAGACAATGGCGGAGAGAAGGGGGACACTAATAATCTAACCTATTAAGACACAACATTAAATAAAGAGATAAACATCCATAAATACTTCCTATTTACTTATGCTGTAAAAACAAGGAAGAGTGCCCAACGGAAGACTGCTGAGTTACACAGCACTATGTTTAGAGACAAAGCAAACGTTAATTCCTACAACTTAATGCCAATTTTGAAAACCTTAGATTCTATTACTTATAAGTTGTCTTGAAGGAAGAATATTTCCTTTGGGAAAACAGCACAAAGCCATGACAAAACAAATGGTTTGTCAGACATATCTGGACAAACACTGAGTTTAGATTTGGTGAACAAGCATCTGTTCTTCCCAGTTACAGCCTCAACTTCTACACAAAAAGGTGGTCCCTATCTTTTACCCCCTAGATCGTAAACCTCATGAAATTGGGGAGAAAATAAAACCTTACAAGGCACTCTAAAGCTCTTCAGAAATACATGCTATTCACACATGAATTACTTTTCATCTACCTACTCAGTCCATGACAAAGCCTCCTGAAGATGGGAAGACCTTATTCTCTACCTGATAATTTCTAAAATCAACTTTGGACTAATTAAATCTACCATAAATAGGTTTACAAACTATGAAAAAATCTGAAGTCACCAGGGCTGAGTTTCAAATCAGAATCTACAAAAGTTTCTATCTATAAAAGTAATTTGCCCTAAAACAAGCTTAATAAAAATCATGCAATTTAAAATGTATCAGTTTAAAGAAAGTAGATACACAATTAGCTTTCTTCATCTTTCATGGAGGACACACTAGTGTTGACACAGAATTACATCATCTGTAGAGGATTCTCTCTAGCATTTTTTGTATCCTGTGCTCACTAAAAAGCAGCAGCTTGTGAAGATTCCCACCCATGATGCTGCAACTGGGACCAAGCTGTGTCAAGATAAAATTTCCCAAGTCCTGTAATACCCTCCAAAGCACACTACTAAACCCAAGTTTTGTTCATGGCACCTCTTAAACATGCTACCCATTATACAAAAATGACTACCAGTGGCAAGCATGCACTCTGAGATTTCTGTTACTGATGGCCAGTTTGCACTGAAACACCCTCACGCCTTAAGATACTATATAACAAAGATGTAGAGGCTGTGTACAAATGGGGGGGGGGGGTCAAGAACAATGTAATCGAGAATGCAGTATGATTCTACAACTACAATTCTCCTCTAAAACCTCAATCTTAATATATCATTATCTAATCAAGCAGGGTAACCTAGCACACAAAAGCACTGTCAAATTTTCTTTAAGATGTTTGAATATATCTTCCAACTAAATCCATTTGGGAAAGCTAATAAAGAATGTCACCAAATTATGAGGGGGAAAAAAAAAAGCCAGAAAACTGGTAGAGTATGATTATTCTTCTGTTCAGCACTGGTTAACCAAACACTGCTATGGACCTAGTAATTGCTAAAACTACATTTTTAAAAAAATTCTTAATTTGGTCAGTCAGAAAGTATGGGGATCATCAGCAACATTTCACTTCCCCCCATAGTAATTTTATAATAAAATTATGACATTATAGGCTGACTTGGTCATTTTGAGTACAGTTCCCTTGAGCTTCAATGAATGAGGGGGTAGTGACTACACACTAGGAAAAAATTTATCCTTCCAACATTACACATATGGATGGTACAAAAATACCTACAGGCAAGTATTCCACCTTTCTTTTTGGCAATCAGAATCCAGATTCATGCTAACAAAATTAACCTTGCAACCAGTTCATCCTGAAATGAGTACAAGCATATTAGATTTTCAGTACATAACTGATTGTACAATATCTCAGACTTCGTTTTTCTTTAATGGTAATAGAAATTACAGAGACAGAAAAAACTTAGAAATAAGCAAATCTTTTACCTCAGCATGAGGCCTACCAAAACTTGGCAGTGCAGACAATATACCTTATTTGTGATACCTTAACATATATTCTGCTCTAAGTGATCTATGAGAATAATTGGTCTCTTCTTACTTTGGTATGGAAAAATTTAAACCACATTGTTGCACTGTTCAGTCTGTTTTGCTTCATTTAAGTTGAAGATTTACTTTTATCCATCTCTGGGAAAATAAAAGTCTTGCAAATAGATGATTTTCTGCTAAGTAAAATTTGGCTAAAAACCTACTGCGTAAACAATGCCTGAGAGATGCAACAGTTACATAATTTTTTCCAAAGACCAGTACTTTTTTAAGTTAAGTATCTCACCATATCCTTAAGTTCATAAGGAGAAATAAACAAACATGAAAATTCCAAGTGAACACACAGCAAAAAGTCCAATATTTAGTATTATTTTAACTTTTGGAGTTTCTTCTAACATTTGTAAACAAACAGCCTCTTCCTCCATCAGGTCTCTGAGACTCCTCTTGCTGAGGCTCTTACTTTTAAAGCCACAAAACCAGTCTATGAATTTCCAGTACTGGCTGCCAGTGTCTCTTTCTTTCTTTCTTTCTTTCTCACCCATTAGAGCTGCTTGCCCATTGGAATAAGCATCTACTGGTGTCTCTGCCTCTGAATGACCCAAGGAAGCCACCGGGTTGCCTTCTTCTCTGCAGGTCACCAACAGATTAATATCTTCAGGCTGCAAGCCCTTTAAGCTGTCTTCAGATTTCCCATTGGGAATGACATGGTTAACCGCCTCTCTGTTCTCACTGCACCTGAGAATGCTCTTCTCTTGCATTTTATATAATTCATCTTTCTGAGAGCAACTCTCTTTCGTCACCACATTCTTCTTCGACCAAAAGGTGGTGGTACGAATCTGTTCCTTTGTAGGAGGCGGTGTGCAGAGGCTAACGATTACAGTAATGAGTCCTGTCACCCAGAACAAAGCTGTGGCCACATACATATAATGGACATCTTTGATAAAGGCCGGCCTGTTATCAGGTTGGTCACACTCTGGGGCACGGTAGGTAAAGGCCAGAATCAAACGGACTGCTCCAAGAACAAAGCCAGCCATTCCACCATAGAAAGCCCCTTGTTCATTGCAGCGCTTCCAGAAAATTGCCAGAAGGAACAGGGCTGCCACTGGAGGTGTCAGGTAATCTGCCACCTCCTGAATATAAAGGTACATCTGGCCTCCTTGCATCTCCACGATGATTGGCACCCATGCTATGCTGATCACTACCATAAAAGCCACAAATATCCTCCCAACAATCATTAGTTCCCGGGAACTTGCACTCTTTCGGATGAGTTTGTACACATCGAGGGTGAATATGGTACTGGCGCTGTTAAAGATAGAGTCCAAGTCACTCATCAGAGCCGCAATCATCACTGCCATCATCAATCCCCGAAGCCCCACAGGAACCAGCTTCATCACCAGGCGCGGGTAAGCAATATTGGAGCACCCAGCTCTGCTTCCACACACTTTCATGCAGTGTTCTGGGTTGATACAAGCTATATCATCAACAAACAGTATCCTGGAAATCATTCCTGGGACAACTATGATAAACATTGGCAGAAGCTTCAAGAAGCCAGCCATGAGAGTAGAGCCTTTGGCATGAGCAATGTTTTTGGCTGCTAGGACCCTCTGGACGATGACTTGGTCAGCACACCAATACCATACTGAGGCCGGCGTCTGCCCGAGAATGAATCCAGGCCATGGAACATCTTCATCTGTTGGATCCCGTAACATTTTTAGGGCTTCCTCCTTAGGGTGGACATTACAAGAATTTGTGTTGGAAAGGTTGTACGTCAACAAGATGGAAGAGACATTGGGCGAGGCCAACATGTACCTTCTCTTAACTTCCTCAAACCCGCCAATTTCCATCATGCTAATAATCATAAGTGTGAGTGCCCCAATAATCATAAGCAGGGCCTGCAGAGTGTCTGTGTAGATCACTGCAACAAGGCCTCCGGTGACAGTCAGTAAAGCAGTCATGCCAATGAGCAGGATGACAGACACATAAAGGTTCCAACCCAAAGACTCCTGGATAAAGAGGGCACCCGAATACAAATCCACTGAGAGTTTGGTGAAGATATAAAGAATCAGAGACAAGGCTGCAAAATAGACCTGAATCCTATGGCCACCAAATCGCTTGGACAAATATTCAGGCATGGTGTACACCCCCGATCGGATGTAAATTGGGATGAACACCCATCCCAGAAGTTGCAAAAGCAGTAAGGCATTGAACTCCCAGGCGCCCACTGCAAATCCACTTGCAGCTCCAGATCCTGCCAGCCCAATGAAGTGCTCACTCCCAATATTGCTCACAAACAGAGAGGCACCAATTGCTACCCAGGTCATAGAGCGCCCCGCCAAAAAGTATCCACTCACGGTGCTTCTATTAGATTTCCACATGGCAAAAAAACCAATGCACATGACCAGGATAAAATACAGGGCCACTATGGCAATGTCTGCTGTCTCCAATACAGCCCTCATTCTGGTAACTTCTGAATAAAATGTCCAAATGACAGAAGTGTCCAACTTTTCTTACTTATTAGTCACCCCAGTCAAGTTTTGTAAACCATACGTGAACTGGACTACACAGAGCAACACAGCAGGTCAAAGTCTTTGTCCTTTGGTTTGCTGTCTTGATGGTGGTGATAAACTTTGAAGGAGACAGTTAAATTTTCCTCCGCTTCTTAATTGGGTTTGAGCTTAGCTCGTACTCTTAATCCACTCTCCACAAGACCATCAGCATTTACTCAGGTGCTGGAGGAGAAATTCTGAGTTGCAGCTAAGTCTAGTGAAGCCTACTGTACCAACCCTGCAAGGCAGCAAAGACAAAAGACAAAGATTGAATTAGAGGAGGGTCTCACCAAGTGATGAGGAAACTTTCAGTCAAACAAACAGCGGCGCAACAGACATTAAAAAAAATTTTAAAATACACTTTAGTTCCAGAGCAAAGACTAATCTATACTCTTGCAGCTGATACTTAAAAAATCAGGAAGCATATCATTTTGAACTAAAAACTCATCAACTTCAGAATTCAGTGGTGTAACTTTCTTCAGCCACTGTCCACCATGAGCATCCTGTCTTGTCTTACTGTGGCGGTTTCAGTTTGGAACAGGCATGGAGATCTTAAAAGTTGCTAAAGGAAATAGGCGTATTCATAATGGCACCAAAAAAACCCTTCAAGTACTAAGAATCCTACAGATTATTTGGGTTAACTTTACAGCCATGAGGGTCCTGGAGGGAACAAACAGCAGACATTCTCTAGGTGTTAGCGTCTATCCCCAGATCATAGGTACACAGAAAAACAAATACTGTCCCAAATCTATTTGCTAGAAACCTGCCCTAAATTCCTACTGTAAATGTACAATTGTTACACAGTGACCTAAAACTTACAAGACGCCTAATGGAAACAAGATTTTTCACACAAAAAAACTAGAAACATACAACTTATAAAATCATCCTAAGACTTCTGTTACTGAGGGGTTGAAAAAAAAAAACAAACTTTAAAAAAGGTAATTTCCTTTCCTTCAGGCGTTACTTCCAAGAGAACCTCTGAGAAAAGCACTGACTCAGGTATAACGTTGTTGAGCATTTTTTCCTTTTAATTCAAATGACAGAAAAAGTAAGGTGAGAAAGAAGTAGTTATCTAGATTATTTTATCTTCCAAATCTGAATAACCCAGACATTTGTCCACCACTAGAAAAATCATCTTCAGTAAGTCTATGGTATTTTTCAGTCCTGGATTAAGATAATCATTATGCAAAACAGACATTTAAATTTACCTAAAACCATTTTCACCAATTTAATGGTTTTCCTCCTGATGAAGAAACAAGACCTAATTCCTCAAAGTTAATTATAATTGCAGCTAACAGGTAGATCAGTAAGACAAATATTATCCAACCTAATGCCTCTACATGTTATTCTAAATAATTTGAAACAATTTTAGTGTCTTTATATCCCTGAGAAACCTGTTGTTTTCTGGTAAATGTAGGTGGTTTTTTTTTTAAATGAACAATAAATGTTAAATCCCACAGGTGACACTAAAGCCACCTTTCTCAAAACTGTTCAAAATAGATTGTAGTGCCAAAATATATATATATAAATACAATTCTCACTGACCATAAGCTAAACATAATGCCTCAACACGATGCTCGATCAAATTAGGTTACTAGACCTAATTCATAAAGCTGTCTAGATAAAAATGTCAATCCCATTTTTATCCCTTTTCTAAACACAAAGCACTACAATAATTATGCTATGAAGTGATTAAAATCCTATTTTCTCAAAGTTAAGAGTCAATGGCTGACATCAATAAAATTGCCAAAGGCAAAAAATTAAGAATTTGTATCACATTACATTTGTCAAATCCTGAAACTGGTCATATCAATGCCTTTCCCACACCCAAAAGCTTTTAAAGTTTTAAAGAAATGCTCTGAAATGACTCACAAATAACCAGTCAGTATTTTAACAAGATCTCACATGAGTAATAAACGTGTGTTATTTAAAAGCATACCTTTAAATATTTTAGTGTTACAGATAGATAACAAAGTGCTTTCAAAAGTTATCTCCTGGCTCTCCAATGTTCAAGTCATACCCATGTCATCTGCTCAACTTGACCCCAGCTCAGGTCAGAAGACCTTTCAGGTATTACTCATCTCAATGGGAGTGGCTGACCATGCACTCCTAAAAGGAGAAAAAAAACATCTAGTCTTTGTTTTTAGAGGGAGGGTGGAGGTTTCGTTTGTGTATTTTTTTCAAAGTGTTCAAAAATCAAAATAAGTATTTCCTTTCTCCATCACCAGAAAGCAGAAGCATAGTAGTATTGTTTAGCATTGCCAAATATGATCTGTCCAAAGCTGGTATCTAATCTAGGTTCTGCCCCCAGAAAACCGCTCAGACTTTGAAGTTCCTATGCAAAGCGCCTGATCCCTAGAATACATTCTGTCCACAAGGGAGGTAGCTAAACCCTAGCTCAAGGCTGATTTCAACTCTACTCCTCTTCAGATCCTTCAAAACCCACTGCTGAGTCCTCTCACTGGACTCCATACCAGTCTATGTATATGGTTTTCATTGTGTATCCCTTTGGGGGGGAAGGGAGCATTAGACTTTCCAAATGTAAACAAAATACACGCAGAAATCAGCAACTTTCTGGAAAAGGAAAAACAAAACTAAAAAGAGGTCAATTTAGTTTGCAGAAAGATATAAAATAGTATGAATACAACAAAGGTAAATGTCACACCTTGGTCATGAATAAAGATTGTGAAGTCCTTAAATTTCAGCCTTTCAGGCTGAAATGAAAGCTTAGCACAATTGGAAATGAAAGCTTAGCACAATTTTTCCTTTTTAAAGGAGTAAACATTTCTTAAAAAACAAAACAAAAAAAAGTACAATGAATACTGTCTTGAGTTCCTTTATTCCTAGGGAAAATACAGAAAAATCTTTTCTTCAGCTAATGTGAAGCTTTTTAATGCATTTTATTCTTATGCCTTTTTATCTATATTATGTCTTTTTTATGGCTTACAATTCAGATAAAGGCCTTAGATGAAAAAATGGGACTAGTAACCAAATAGGTAAGTAATGAAAAAGTCTGTGAGTTGGTTCCTTGGTAGTGCATTTTGAAAGTTACCTTGATAGTAAAAGTAACACATATTTGCAGAATGTATGAAGATATGGTGCCCTTGTGCTAATGGGTAGATTTAGTTAAACTTCAAACACAAAGGGGTTTTGAAACAGCAGAATTCTCCATAAGAGGACTGTATATATTAGAAAGTAGTATTTTATTAACAGTTATTAGAATGCAATTGACCCTGTCATGTATGTTTATGAATTAAATTACAACTGAAGAACTGAGACCATAAAAATCTATTTGACCAACAGGAAAATATATCAAATTTAAATTATCTACTAAACTTCAGGTGATATACAATATGCTTACCTAAACAGCATTAGTTATAAGGACCAAATTCCTCACTATTATCTAGGGCAATGATGATAAACCTTTTAGAGCTTTCAATGAAAACAGCAGCCCACTGTGGTATGCATGTCATAGGTTAGCCACCACCAATCCAGGGTAACCTCAACCCAGTCAGGAAATTATTCTGGTATCATCTGTAAAATTCAGATATGGTCACTCTATCTAAAAAGAAAAATCACTTATCAGAAAAGTCAAACAGGGAACAGATAAAAATAAACCCTAAACTCAATCAGAGCTCCACATCCTAAAAAGTACAATGACATATGTGACCTAATAACAAAGAGTGTTACAATAATGGTGCCCCTAAACAACTTTTAGCTCTGGGGGGAGTTTATAAACACAAATTCAAGGGGCAATCTCAACAGTACTGTGGAAGATGGGTCTGATAAGTCCTGCTGCTGCAAGTATATAAACCAAATGGTATTCACAGAGTAAGTTAGTAACTTAAGGGCCACATAACACAGAGACTTCCAAAAACCTGAGTGCCTACATTATAATCGGCTCTGGTAACATCAAAAAGAGAAAACATGAGCACACCAGAGGCTTGCTTTCTCAATATCACAGATTTCATGACTGTAAAGGTGATGAGTACAGACTACCACCAGTCACAAGCAGGTGCAACAGTACAGCGGAAAGCACTCAGCTTTGAAGACTTCAGTCCCAAACAAGCTCCGCCACTCATAACTGTAGGACCTTAGACAAATAACCTATCTCTGTGAACCTCAACTATCTCATATGTAAAATACAACCATGTTTAGCACCTAATGGCATGATGAAGAATAAGCTATAGAAAGTGGGCAGTAATGTCCAGTACAACAGGGCAATGCTTCAGTAAATGTCTCCATTTACGGAATGAACTAGTGATGTGTGTTACCAGTGCTTTCAAATTGTCAACTATGCCAATAAAAGAATAGATTAAAAATAAACTATTAAAACTGCCATTCTCTCACAAATGTTTTAATGAGGTTCCAAATTACCTCATCAGCTCCCAGTGCCTATTTAACTTCACATGAGTAAAATATATTTATTTTCATTTTTGCCATTTTGAATCAAGGTCCAGCAAAGGAAATTTCAAGAATGGAATAGTAAATGGCACTTGGTACTGAGCTGTTCTCAATGCTGCCTCCTCAAAGATGTGAAACACAATAGGTAAGGCTTATTAGTGACAAGTAAAAGCAAAAACAATTTTTCCTAACACAACTGGTGACATGAACACCAATCAATTTTAAATCACAAGTGGAGTTGAAGACAACCTTTATTGGTAACTGTACAATATAATACCCCTAACAATTTGAGCTTAAAGTCTCTAAAAAAAAAAAAAAAATTCTATCATTGTTTTTGCAACACAAAGTACAGAACCCAGGGCCTTCACACTAGTACACATCCCTACCCTACCCACATCTTTTTTTAGGAGACGAAAGTCCTGCTCAGGCCCCTAAGTCTGCTGGGCTAGGGCTGAACTTGCATTCCTCCTACCTCTGCCAGAATGCTGGGATTACAGGTGTGTACCATCATGCCTGGCTGGCTACTTAGGTTTTTGTTAAGTACATTAAATATAAAAATCCTGACTGGACCCAAATAGTGTTCCAATCGTATTCTGAGGATTTTTAGCCCCTCGTGTACCATAATGAGAAGGGGAGGCACAACCATTTACAAATCAAAATAGCTACTTTGATCAGTATGTGTGAGCAGTATCTCATACAAATAAATCGCTTCTTTAAATAACATCTTACTCATCTTGAAATGGTTCAAAAACCACCAGATTTATCAATTTATCCATAGCTACATCTGTCCCAAAAATATTTATTTTAATCTATCAATGTAAGAGTTGGTTCCCA